AGTTTTGGGCGGCTGTTGGAGCCCTGGTAAGGTGCTGCATGGTAAGCATTCCTCTGAAACCCTGTATGTGTAGAGCAGGGGTGGAAGTTTCCAACCCACAAGCTGTATAGGCCCATGAAATCATTTGCTCTGGCCCTACCAAGGCAACTGCAGTTCTATCACATTAGTGAATTGTTGGACCAAATATATAGCAGGCTCATTTTTAAAATTTTTTATGGAACTTTGCATGAAAGAGATCTGACCCTGCTATACAGGGTCACCAAGTCAGAACTAACTCAACGGCATGTAACATTTTATTTATACATAGTACAACTCTCTTAAGATCCATTTTTTCCTCTTTAATAGGGCTTCCAGTCTCCCAGCCTGGTTTGAACTCCCAGTTGGAACAGAGAGAAGAACCATGGACGCTGGAAGAAGGCTTAATAAGTACCTGTGGAGGTAAGTGAGCAAAGACTAAGCTAATGTGTCAAAAAAGCAAGCGTTTTTGAAGCACACGCTAGTACATTTGATAAACTCTATGAAGTTGGTGTTACCAGTATCCTTTTACAGGTCTAGAAATTAAAGCTGGGAAAGGTTAAGCCTCACATTCAAAAGGTGGTGATTTAAGATTTTAAATTCCAAGTGATTCCAAAGTGTGTCTCCCAGGGTGGGAGGTGTCTGTGGACACATGTGATGTCGCTGACCTCTAGAACACATCCCCTGCATTGGTTCACCTCTTTGGAGAGCTTAGGTACCTTTCTGTGGCCACATCTCCAGCTGTAATAAGATACCACCTTATCTTTTTAATTATTGTGCATTGAGTGAGGATCCAAAATTCAACAAATCACTTAGTTAACAGTTAACTTAGTACTTCTCTTCAGTTAACAGTTAACTTAGTACTTCTCTTCACTTTATTCATCTTTCATCTGCCAACCTGTCATGTTGTATATTGTCTGTCCCATCGCATAATTTAACTTGTGTCTATTCTACCCAGTGAATAATATTCCCTTCCTTCCCACCCATGGTAACCATCATAGAATGTTTCTTTTAGCACAAAAACCTTTTCTGAACTTTGTACAACAGTGGTCTTATATATTTGCCCTTTGTTTGGCTAATTTAATTCACCATAAAAGTCCACCAAGTTCATTCATGTTATGAGGTATTTTTTGCAGGTTCATTATCTTCAACATTGGTTAGTCATTCTGATGAGTATTTAGGTGCTGGGTTTTTCTTTTTGCTGTTGTGACAGTGAACATGGGGGTACATGTTGAGTCATGTCACCGCTCTCAGTTGTTTGTGGCTGTGTGTCTGTACCTAGTAGAGGGATTGTAAGATCTTATGGCATTTCTATTTCTATTTTCAACGTTTTGTTGGCTGCACCATTCCTAGTCTTCCCATACACCCTCCTCAGCTTATCTGGTTTTTAACTGGATTCTGCACCCTTTCTCTCTTTGCATGGTCTTGCCAGAACTTTCTAAATGGCTAATACTAAAAGCTCAAGAAAAACAAAAGGAATGGAAACCAAAGTTTCATCTAAGGTTCACAGCTTCATATCTCAGAGCTTTTGTGTGACCCCTATTGGGGACTCAGTAGTTCCTCCCCTGAACTTTGATGTCTTGAGAAAGCATCAGTTTAAACCACTTTTTTATATTTTCCTAAAAATATTAGAGCTTTATTTCTTAAGTTATTACTATTACTATTGCTGATAGAATTAATTAGAACAGAGTCTGTGGCTGATTTTCTGCATGGTTCTCCTTTCCATTTTTTTTTCTTTTTCAAACCTCTAAGCAACCTATGAGGTGTTAGCTCAGGCCCACTTCAACTCTGGTGGCACTTACCCTTTTGAAAAACTGCTTTTTACAAGGAACTTCACTAGTCTTTCAGAAACTTCCTTCTCTCAAGCACCACTTCCTCTCCAGCATGACAGGGCCTGTGTGAAACCTCATAAATTAGATATATTTTGCAACTAGGGGAGTAACTGCATTTTTCTGAGGAAGTTGCACAGGGGGGTTGTTCAAGATCCTAAAAAGGTTGCCTCTAAAGGTTTAAATCACATTATTAGAAACAGAAGTTGGGAAACTGTGCTCTGAAGCATTAGTGTAGGGAAGTAGAATTAGTGTGCCATATAAATGCATGAGACACATATAATATCTACAGGAAAAAAGCTTACCAACTTCTTGTTTATGATAGTGAAGAGAAGTAGGTTACGGTAACTTTTAAAGTAAATCTGGTTATTAGAGTAATTTACTGCTTCTGCTTAAAGACCCAGAAATGTCCTGGGGGTCATTGCTCCTCCATGGGCTGGTTTCAGGGTCCTCTGTGGCCTCACCCCCCTTCACATCCCACCCAGTGACAGACCCAGCCCTTTAAAGTGTAACTTTTGCCTCAGTGCTTACTTGGGAAGTTCTGTCAGGGATGCTGACATTTTACCAGGCCCAGCTGGTCTGTTTGAATGTTTCAGTCAACACAAAAACATTAAGCATTTGGTACATGCCTGATGCCTGGTGTTGTTTTTGTTACAACTGAATAAAGTAATTCCTGATTAGATCCTAGTTAAGAACATTTAAAAAACAAAAGACTAAATTAAATAATTTTAAATAGTAATGAAGGAGACCTGGTAGCATAGTACAAGATCAGCAGTTCAAATCCACTAGCCATTCCATGGAAGAAAGATACTTTCTGCTCCCATATATATAGCACACCAAGAGCAGGTAATGATGAATGCTGTGAAGAAAAGAAAGCAGGATAACTCAGGGCACAAAGCTGAATAATGGAACAGAGATGTAGGGAGGGGGAGATGGGGGCTATTTTAGATAAAACCTGAGATCTGAAAGAAGATTTGGGGCAGGGGGGACATTCTGAACCACAGTATGGGTGAGAATTAGTTTGGATTGTTAGGATCAGGAAACCTCTGTGACTCATGTGACCAAGGGGGAGAATGGAAGGCAGGGACTGACTGATCATATAGAACATTATGGATCACGGTGGTTGTTATGTGCCATGGAGTCAGTTCTGACTCATAGTGACCCTGTACAGGGTTTCCAAAGTTGTAAATCTTTTGGGAGTAGAAAGCCTCATCTTTCTCCTGCAGAGCAACTGTTAATTTTGAACTGCTGACCTTAACGTTCTCAGCCCGATTCATAATCACTATGCTACCAGATTTCCTTTTATGGATCATGGTAGGTGTTTACATTTCATTCACATAGGACAGTAAGAAGTTTTAAATCAGGGAAAGGGCAATATTTGGTTTTTGTTTTAAAGAGAACTCAGCAGACATATGGAGAATAGATTCTCAGGAAGGTCAGTTAGGAAGGTGTTATAGACATTCTAGTAAGAAATGATTGGTAAGAAGAGAGATTCAGGATATACTTTGGTGTTAAAGCCAATAAATAGGTATTCGTAATAATAAATTGAATGTATGTAGGAAAGAGTCATTAGGAATATCCCTAATTTTTTTGGCCTGAGCAGTTGGGTAAATGGGAAGGACTGACAATGATGCTGACTTAATGGGAGAAATCAATAGCTCTACTTTGGATATATTTTAAGTCATATATGATCAAATACCAGGTTACATAGATTGTTACCTAAGTGGATCAAGCATTAGTATGTATCTGCATAGTTCTGTAGGATGGTTTACAAAGAAGGATCAAAATAATACCAGTACCAGTCGCTGTTGCCTCCAACTCATGGTAGCCCCATGTGTCAGTCATACTAGAACTGTGCTTCATAAGGTCTTCAGTGGGTTTTTTTGTTTTGTTTTGTTTTTTTCAGCAAAATCTCCCAAGTCTTTCTAGGAACTGCTGGGTCAAGTTAAACCTCCATCCTTTTGGTTAGCTGCTGACCATTTGCACACTAAGGGATTTCCAAAAATCACGTACATTTATTATGCATCAGAACTGGTTCTGGGTCCTACCTCATCTCCACAATTACAGTGAGGGAGCTACTGAAATACCTCTGTTTCATACATGAAAAATCTGAGGCATAAGAAGAAATAAATTGTTCAAGGTAAGAGAGAGAGAGCTGAGATTTGAACCTAGGGAGAGCCCATGTGGAGATTCTGTGTAGAAAGACAAATACAAATACATGAACAGTAGGTATACAACTAATGTTTTCATTGTCTGTCTTTCCAGTCGTTTAAAAAAATCTTTTAAACAAATTATAGCATTCAAACTTCAAATGTGATAAAGTATGGCTTATACTTGCTAAATAATGTCCTTTAAATGGCTATACTATAGCCACTGTCAATCAACATTTAAGCATTTACAGTGATAGATGATCACCCAAATCTATACATCTTATAACTGGAATTCTGAAGTCAACATTTTAAAAGCTTGGTTGATAATATTACCACCAGACTGCCCCTTTAATATTGTTGTCCCAATGCCTACAATCACAACAGACACTATTACTTTAACATTTTAACTAAGTTAAGCTATCAGTCTTTTTAAGTCATTGTCCAAACGACACTAATGAGAACCAGAGTTTTGATGGGATGGTTCCCAGGAAAGAGTGTAAGATTACTCTTCCAAGAACAGGTTATTGTTGTTGTGAAGTGCCCTCGGAATTTCCTTAGAAATAGAAAAGGGGTGTTACATATCTGAGCTACAGGAAGATTAGGGTAAACTTCCTCTGCAGTTTAGTTAAGGGCTAAACAGATACATTCTGACAACTAGTGAATTTTGTTCATTCTTTCCTAGAATAGAAAAATATGGAATGCAACTTATATGAATCATCAAACTTGTCTATAAAAGTGTGTGACCAACTGTTGTTCTTTTTAGACTGGAATGTTTTATCTAACAAGTCACCACCAACCAGAGCAAGCCATTTCTGAAGAATCACTTCAAGACTCTAGTGTGGAGATCCCTGCTGGAGAGTCAGGCCATAAAAAGAGTGAATTGGAGAAGAGTATCAATCTGAGACCAGTCCTTTCTCCACAACAGAGTTCCAACAGAAGTGAGATCCCATAAATGTGAAACACACCCAAAGAGGTTCAATAATTCAGATATAATTAAGCCTCACAGAGCAAAACCATACATATGCAATGTATGTGGTAAAGCCTTCAATTACTGTTCATCCCTTTCTCAACAACAGAAGAGCCACACTGGGGAAAAGCCCTATGAGTGCAATGAATGTGGAAAAGCCTTCAGCCAGAGTTCATCTCTTATTCAGCATCAAAGGATTCACACTGGAGAGAAACCTTTTAAGTGTAGGGAATGTGGGAGAGCTTTCAGTCAGAATGCAAACCTCACAAAACACCAGCGAACTCACACTGGAGAAAAGCCCTACCAGTGCAATGAGTGTGGAAAGGCTTTCAGTGACTGTTCAGCCCTTGGTCAGCATCAAAGAATGCACACTGGAGAGAAACCCTACGAATGCAGTGACTGTGGAAAGGCCTTCCGTCACAGTGCCAATCTTACAAACCATCAAAGGACTCACACTGGGGAAAAGCCATATAAATGCAGTGAGTGTGAGAAGGCCTTCAGTTACTGTGCAGCATTTATTCAGCACCAGAGGATTCATACAGGAGAGAAACCCTACAAATGTAATGCATGTGGGAAGGCCTTTAGCCAGAGTGCAAACCTTATAAACCATCAGAGGACTCACACTGGAGAGAAACCCTACAAGTGCAGTGAGTGTGGGAAGGCCTTCAGCCAAAGTACAAATCTCATAATCCATCAAAAAACTCATACTGGAGAAAAACCATATAAATGTAATGAATGTGGGAAATTCTTCAGTTATAGTTTAGCCCTTATTCGACATCATATTATCCACACTGGAGAAAAACCTTATGAATGTAATGAGTGTGGGAAAGCATTTAACCAGAGTTCATCCCTTAGTCAGCACCAAAGAATTCACACTGGTATGAAATCCTATGAATGTAGTATGTGTGGGAAGGCCTTCAGGTGTAGCTCAGCTTTCATCAGACATCAGAGACTCCATATTGGAGAGTAACCAGGAACATGAAAAAGTAGAGAAAACTTCAGACATGTCTTTGTTGTTTGTAAAGTTCCACTGAGTCGTTTCCAAGGAGCAGTACCGCACTGACCTTGCAGAACTAGTAAAAGTGGGAACCTTACAGATAAATGTGTGAAAATACCTGCTATGTATGAGTCTACATGGCAGAGCCACGTGCAGAAGCTTACCTTTAATAAATGCATTTTACACGTTGCTTGTGAGAACTCACTGCTTTCAGTATACATCACAGAATTTAAGGAGTCTACCTCAAAGTCAAAAAAAAAAAAAAACTTTTAGCTTCTTAATTCAGTGTATGAAGGAATGCTTTGCAGTAAGGTCTCAGAAGCCTTTTGTCTATTATTAAGTGGTGAAATCAATGAGTCAAGAACAGTATGAAGGCCAGGCATTTAGGCAATGTTGCAAGAGGTTAACAGATTATTTCTTCCACAATTAAAGGAAGCCTGGTAGTGTTGCTCAGCAGAACAAAGATGAGGCTTTCTGCTCCCTTGAAGATTTATAGCCTCAGAAACCTTATCCAGGGTTGCTGTGTCAGCACACTACTGAGGGGTCTGGTTTTGGAGTGGAAGCAAATAAACCTCTAAAAATTGACTATTTAAAATACAGTTGAAGTGTTAAGTGCCTGTTCTAACTCATAGCAACTGGTAGTTGTGCTGCTAAACCTCAAGGTTAACAGTTTTAAAGTACCAACCATTCCATGGGCTAAAGATAAGGCTTTCCTGCTTCCATGATTCACAGCCTCAGAAACCCTATGCAGGGCCATAGGAGTTGGAACCCAAGGCACATAACCACCACAGCCCGTCATGGCTCTTTAGCATCAAAGCTGATTCCAACTCAGTGACTCTGTAAAAGTATTTGAGGAGCTGCTAGTTGGTTTGAACCAATTTCAAGGTAAGTTCAGCACACCTAGTAAACTATGTGGTCAATCCAAAACAACACGGTTACATGCATATCAAATCAATTTTTTACTTTGGCAATTCCAAGTAACCATAGTTTAAGATTTTTGTTTCAGGTGTTTTCCAACTCCACTACTGATTACATAGTCTCAGTCACCCTACTGGGTAAGAACTGACTCCGTGGCAGTGTTTAATGTGGGCTTTAACTATATAACCAAGAAGGTTGCCTGGTTCTCCAGTGGAGCTGTAGGTTGAGTTCAAATATAACCATTGCCTCCACCCAAGGTAGAAAATCAAGACAGCTGGAGGTCAGGAAAACACTGTTAGGTCAAATATCCACTGAGCTGTTTTAACACCAAGCAGGTGGTTTTAATTCAATTGCAAAACCTCCATACAGAACTGGGGTTTCAATCCCAGTTAATGTGCCAAGTGTAGCTACCACCTGTGAGTGGCAGCTTTCACTATGTGGGACTAAAGATCTACTTCTAAATATCGCCAATAAACATTTCAATCCACTACATTCAGGCTGACTTGTTATAGCACGCAATAGCTATGCAATTATCACCATCTCCCCCCAGCCACCTAAATTTCTCAGTTCTATATATTACGTTCAAGATTCTCTAACCATACTGAGGATTATTTCTATCACACCTGGGGTGATTAAGAAACCTGATTTAAAGGGACTGGTGGCAGTGTGTTTTATAGGGCTGCTAGCCACAATACAAGGTCAGCAGTTCAAACTATTCCTGTATACGGTGCCAAGGAGGAACTGACTCCATGGCAGTCGCTTATTTTTTTGTTTTTGGTTGACAAAATTACAGAGGTTAAAAATGATAAATGCAAATCAAGTGATTATTTCCCAGGGCAGTCAATTCCTTGAGGCTGGTACCCTAGGAACTCTTTTCAGGTGGTGTTTAAAGCACTCAGTAGATGCAGCTTGTTCCAGTGCCATGACCTTCACTCATTATAAAAGTCTGGTCAGAATTTAAGGACGATGAGTAGAGACTTGGCAAAGACAAAGACAGATGCATTACACAAAACATCATTGTCTTTATAAATATTTAAGTACTTACCAAAAGCAGTGTTCTCCTTTCCCTCCAGATGTCCTTTCTCATCTTAGCTGTTCCCATACAGAAGACTGTTACTGAGATCGCCACTTTTCCAGACTCTGCACCTTGGTTGATCACGCAATCCCTAAAGAACTAGAGCTCATGTTTTCCCAAGCAAGAGGCCACATCAAAAAAAAAAACTGGTTATCAAATGATCCTTTATTGAATATGTTCTTTGTAATTCTTAACTCTGTAGGAAAAGAAAAAGGCCACCATATTAGTAATAGGATAAAGTTTTCCAATCCCACTAAGAATTCCTAAAGCTTTCCAAGTTACACCCATGGGGAATGTAACCCTACTTTAACTAAAAGAAAACCAAGATCACTTACAGATGGGCATTCCACAGCACCACTATTGATGTCATCTATGATGTCATGAGGGTGTCGGCCATCAACATTGCAGCCCACTGACTGGGCAGTCCCCAGGATCTCTTTAATGGTCCCTAAAATTGAGAAAAAGGAGCTATGGTAGTGTAGTGTTACAAATCAGGCTGTTAAGGTCAGCAGTTCAAAACTATCAGCTGCTCCGGGGAATAAAGATGAGGCTTTCTGCTCCTGTAAAGATTTACTGCCTCGGAAACCCCGTACAGGATCGCTGAGTCAGAACTGACTCCACAGCACATAACAACAACAACAAAATTGAGAAAAGGAGGCATTAGAGGGTTCCCAGTACCTTACAATCTGGGGGGAGGGGATGTTAGTTATGGCATAGATGCAACTATGTGTGTCAAGTCTCCAGGAGAGTGCAGATGATCATATATCCACAGCCCAAGTCCGCAGACACATGCCCCAAACACTCAGTGAAAATGTCACAAAGTACAATCACTAAAGCAGTTCCAAGTTGTCCTCTTACCAGAGAGTTCTCTGGCCAAAGACCGGTGTCGCATCTGACGGGCAATGCTGATGATCTCATCTAAACTGATATTTCCACTGTGCTTAACTACAGAAAAGAAAACAAAAAGGTGTCATAACTCAAATAAAAAGCAGACTGCGTACTATCCTCAGTCATTTTTCTAGGCTGTTCCCATGCTTTCGGCACAGAGTCATTCACATGAAGAACAACCCTGTTTCCTAAGCTGGGGTTTAATATCAGCTCACCACTGGATTGCACCAGCCAACAGAAAACTGGTCAGGTGCAGTGGCGGGTGGCTAAGGGCAAAACAGGTCTTTGTTAATCTGACTTACGCACCAAGGACTATAAAAGCCCTGTGGCTTTTTCAGTAGTGCCTGGCTCTTTAATGGAATTACCCAGTTCCCATGCCAACCCCTAGTTTCATTAAAGAAAAAATAGGCAACCCTTCATGAAACACTGGCTACAAACACCAACACCCATAAGAGATTAAGGAAAAAGGCAAACTCACTATTTTTCTGCTTCTTTCTGTCTCTGGGTGGTTCCTTGAGAGCTTTGATGATCAGGGCAGAAGCAGAAGGCACCACCTCAATCTGCAAGAGATTGTAATGAATTAGCCTCACTCCACTCACAATGATGGTAAATAATACTGACATGTATGTTCATATGCCAGACATTCTCAAGCTATCTTCAAATCTGACAGTGTCTACTAGCCTGAAACACATTAAGTGATTTTGACCAAGGCTACACAAACACTGCAAGCTTTGCCGTAGGTGCATGTTCTTATAAAGGCCTTCCCATAAGACAAAAATCAATCCTCCCATCCTTTAATGGGAAAAAAAAAAAATCAGGGTAGGGCCTGATGGCAGATTAGGAAGAAGTGCGGTGCAGACAGTAATAACACAGAATACCAGACAAAGCAGGTTGAGGGAACAGTTACAGAACTCTGAACGACATATAAAGTTAATACTTAGAAGGATTAAAGCCTTACTGCTAGTGAGACTTATAGCAGAAGAAAAATGGTGTTTTCTGATCTGTGGCTGCTACTGAGTCCCAGGCTTGGCCATTTTGAGCTCTCGCTAAAATCACATATGTTTGTTGTTAACTGCCGACTCTTAGGGACCCTATGGGATTTCCAAGGAGCAGCTGATGAGCTTGAACTGATTTTACAGTTCAAACAACTTTGCAATCTGACCCATTATCCACAGCACCACACCAAGACTCCAAAAATCACATATAGTCAAGATAAAATCCCACCATTCAAGGAAGAGTCAATTCCCGCTGCTATATACCAGCAGCCAGCCAGCCAACATCTGCAAGTTACTTTGAGTTCAGTAATAAAGAGAAAAGTGAAAAAGAGTCCATCTATCTGAAGGCAATCAGAAAGATTAATACAAACAGTAACAGACTTAGTCACATGTCCAGAAACTAGAGTAGTAAGTGAAATAAGTGAGCTGCAGGTAGACCCAGACTTCAACAGGCTTTGGAACTGCCTGAGAAGAATGAAGAATTTATGAAATTGCGACAGGAACAATCAAATAAAATAGAAATTGCCTTGGAAACCATTTGAAACCTGCAAAAAGGTTCAAACCATTAGCAATAAAATAGCAGAAATGGACGAAACACTGAAAGGGCAAAGTAATAGGACTGAAGAGACAAAAGCCAGAATCAGCAAGCTGGAAGAAAATCTCTCAGTACTGCTAAGATAGAAGGGCAAATAAAATAAGATAAAAACATTTGAAGAAAGTCTAAGATTCATGTGGGACCAACATGAAGAGATAACTTGAGAATTATTGGAATTCCAGAACAGTAAGAATCAAAGATCACAGAGTATAGATAGTTGGAGAGCTGGTGGAAGAAAGTTTGCTTTACATAATGAAAAATGCAAAGATAAGCATTCAAGAAGCTCACAACCAAGGAAGGAGAGACCCCAAAAGAAAATCACTAAGACATATTATCAAACTCTTCAAAATGAAAGATAAGGAGAGAATCCTGAAAGCAGCTAGGGAAAAGAGAAGTATTACTTTCAAAGGCAAGCAAGTAAAATTAAGCTCTAATCTTTCAAAGCAGAAACCATGCAGGCAAGAAGGAAGTGGTGAGATATGAGATTGACATATGTGACAAC